GGGGGGGGGGGGGGGGGGGGGGGGTTCAGCTATCACAATACAAGCTATGCTTCCTCTAGCAACACCACACTTCTGATAGGAATGAGAACGACTGTGGATGGAGGATAATGCTACCTCCGTTGATTGATCAGGAAGGCTTGATGGAATTGCTGGATGTCAGAAAATTATATATATCAGAGACTGTAAGGAGCCTTCACAGCAAAGATAAATGACATAAACCCATCTGCAAGATGTTAGAAGAACAATTAATTCGAGGGAAAATCTTGGTTAATAATAAGTTTCATAACATGACAGCTGAATGGTTCTAAGAGCAAAGTTTCGCGGATCCTCTGCACAAAATGTACCCAGACGACTAGGACAGCGCTCTGCCAAGTATTAATGAAACATTTTGAAACTAAATACACAACCCCTCTCAAAGTAAGCGAGTGTCGGGAAGTATCGGAGAAGAGGAAGTCTTCCTCTTGTAACAGTGGCCGAGCACCCTGGGAAAGACTTGGCCAGTTCTGCCATACTTGTATCCGTTCCCCTAGGCCTGTGCTGGAATCTTTTCTTCCGGGTACCTTGTCGCAAAGTTACCTAGAGCACGGATAGTAAAGGAAAACTTGTAATTGGGATATGAAAATGAACAAAAACGGTGGAAGGCGCCTGGAATCGCCTCCTCCAGCCATTCGCCATTATTTTGTTGTCGGGTCATGAGAAATTGGACGCCACGTTTTATCGGTTCCACGGCTGGGTACTCGCCAGCCATCAAGGCGATGAGCGCCCAAGCTGTCTGCACAATAAGTGAGCCCCGCGGATCTTCTATATATCTTTTGTGTTCGCAACCCTGGGAATTTTGGTTAGCATATCCAGTGTCATGGACTTCTCCCTTGTAAATAATGACGCACTTGTATGCTTTCCGACCATCCTCCATCTTCTCGCTGCTTCGAGATGAGGAAGTCGCAGGCTGCTCGGGCGGCTGAACTGGTCCCATAGGTCTCACCCACAGCAGCCAGCGCCTCCAAGCCGAACATGGTACCATAGGTGAAGCAAATAGCCCAAAATCCATACCACGAACCATCAGCTCGCTGGTCGGATTTGATCCACCGGACTCCGCGCTGTATAAAGTTTTCAATGTCTCGGGTCCTGTAGTGTGGCCAGTGTTCTCTGAATAGGGCCAAAGCCGTGACGCATGACGACGTACACTCTGGGAAGTCGTACTCGACCATGAGCTCCGCAAAAATTTCTGAAGGGTTGAGCAGCTCAAGATATGTGCTGCCTTGTCGTGCCTCAAAGGCGGAGACGCCCCCGGTGCTATTCTGATACAGAATGATAGAGTCCACAGAATCGAATATTCGCTCTTCTTCCAACAGGACGGGATAATGCACGGTAGTTTGGAGCTTGATTACAGCCTTGATCGCCTCGGCCGTACAGTCACTAACGGCGTAACCTTGATACTTATTGCTGAAAGCCCAACAACCCTTGCGTTGTTGGCGATAATACTTTTCTTGTTCGGGGCAGTCTTGTCGGATTTGCTGCTTTTCAAAGAACTGCAAGGCTTTCACACACATCTCTCTCCAGTGTTCATCTCGATGTAGGCCGGCTGCACATATGCCTTGAACAATGAATGCAGTGTCCCAGGACTGGCTGCCGTTAGTAGAGTTGATTTGCAGGCCATCTCCAGTCATCCAGAGAAATTCTTGTAATTTATCGACATATTTAGCCAAGGAAACAGAGTTGGTGCCGTCTCGGAAGAAGGATACAATGGTCGACAGTGGCTGGTCGGTTGCGGCAATACCACCATGATACGTATTGCTTGCTTGTACATCAATCAGCTCGCTCAGCCAGGCCTCTGCCCTGGATTTCATAGACTTGGGTAGCAAATAGAGCTTCCAAATATTGACGTAAGCCCAGCTTACGCCATCAGCCAACCATGACCTGTGCTGCTTGTAGTCCTCCTTTGCGACAGTTGTCCTGTGTCGTTTCCAGTCGATGTCTCCATATGGCTGAGCAAGAAGTTCTTTTCTGAGCGACCTGATGAGATCTGTCTCCTTGCATCTCCACCTCTTCGAATACAGGTAGGACATTGACTGACCGGGCAGCCTTATCTCGGCGAAGAACCTCCGTGGGTGGAACGGCATCCAGTCGGGGAGCAGCCAGAGTTCTGCAGGCATTGGATGGACGATATCCCAGTCCACAATGCCCAGGATGGCCATCCAGACCTTGCCCCAGCACGATGAGTATAGGGCTACTCCTTGCGAGTGAACAAACTCTCTCGCTCGAATAAGAATAGGGTGATCTGGAGACATGCCGGCGATTCTCATGACAATATAATTCAAGGTCGTGCCGCAAATATTGCTGTCTCCGGTGGTATGAATACCCCACCCTCCAACTTGTGGGTTGACTCTAGCAGCAAGATATGCCTGCAGTTCGGTTGCAACGTGGTCGGGGATTGCGGTTTCTGTGACATACCAGGCAATGACTATGCCTGCGCAAAATGTCATAGGGCCGCCACTTTCACATCCCCAATGCCCAGATGGGAGCTGCAACTTTTCCAAAAATGTCAATGTATTTTCCACAGCACCTAAAGAGGACGTTGCTCGTCCCAGATTAGGAAGATCCTGTAGCAAGGTCAGCGATAAGTCAGTTTGATCAAGGGGGGAAAAAACAACAACAACCAACTGCTACGCACTAAAGGCAAGCCGAGATAGTACTTGTCCGCGTAACTTTGTGGCCAGTCTTTTGCTGCGGCGTCATTATCGAGATAGTGCCAAGTGTGACGACTGTCGTTGTCTCGTAAACGCCACCTTGTAGTGTCTGTCCGCTTCACTTGCGCCTGCACATGTTCCATCTTGTAAGTGTCCTGCCCGGTGAAAATTTAATTTCCTGTCATCTCAAGACATTCTTTTCTATTTTATAGGGAAAGGAAATAGAGCAATAGTTTTTGCTTTTCCTCTTGCGTCAGGTAAAGTTAATTTTAAAGTATAGCAATAGGCAAACGCCACTTTCACGAGATGCTGCAAACAGGCGCGAGGCTGTTATGAACATGCTACTAGAGACAAAAACGATGAAATTAAGTTAAAGGATATCACGGATGATAGCTATGGATTGAATAGAACAGTCGGACGAGTCCTTGGATGGAAGCTATCTAGGGAGGGATATCAGGCGCTTATTATAGATATCGTAGGTCATCTGATAGGTCATCGAGGAGATCCTCAATCGAGGGATTTAGCTATTGAAGGTCCGGTTTCAATAGGGTCGTGGCGCGAGCATTTACGAGGCTTTTTGGTTGGCGATGCCACATAATCGTAGGGCAGCTATTCGAGGCTTTTCGGCGATGCCGATGAATAGCAGCCTTTTTCCATTGAAAGCAGGCCTTTAGCGTTGACAAAGGATAATACTTGGACGCTGTTTTCGTGAGCTGCCGCAAACGGACAGGAGACTATGCTGAAGCTGCTATCAGAGACAAGCAGAGTTCATGCTTATTCAAAGGATAATAACGGTCGGATGCCACTTTCGCTAGCCGCCCGGAACGGGAACACGGCTGCTGTCAAACCTCGTGACGCTGGCTACTTTCGCAGCTTTACGCCATGTACTCGCTCCACGTGGTTCTTAGAAGCGCCTAAACTAGTTAGGAAGTCACCTTAATACTCGTGAGTTGATTATTAGCTTATTAGCTAGTTTAGTTATAAAAAGCGGCTTATAAATTAGGTTAACATTAACTGTAGGAGAAACTATCTGCGAAGGTAAAGTTAAAAATATAAGATAACGCTTAATAGGCTATTTATTAATATTATTTACTTGATCTTATAGCTAAAGTAAGACGACTAAACCTACGCATCTCCTTATCTCACGTAACTTTATCGTACTTATTAACGATAAGCTTCTTAGCTTCTTTTAGTACTTAAGTTCCCTAAAGGTTCTTAAGAGTACCCTAAGTTAGCTTTTAATAGATTCTAAATTAAATGCGTCCTTTAATACCTAACTAGATCGCTTTTAAGCGTAAGTACTTAAAAACCTACCTTCTATTAATTAAGGCGTACTTCTTCTTAATATAATATTTACTAGAGCTAATAGTTCTTCTTATATTCTTCTTTCTCTTTTAATTACCCCTTTAAATCCTTCTAATAGTCTCTTTACTATCTACTACACGTATTATAACACCTTTTAAGTTAATCTTTAAGCTAATAGTTCTTAATATTATATCTTATAAATTTAAGTTAATACCTTTAAGACTACTTTTAAGAATAGATTAAAGATATTCTTAAGAGCTTTATAAGTTAATACCTAAAATAAAATCGTAATACCTTATATTAATAGGTAATAACTTAAATAAGAGTGTAAAAGACTCCTTTATAAAGATAAAGAATTATAATAATAAACGGTAATAAGTAAGGGATAGCTAAAAATACTTTTTCTTTAAAGTAACTTAATTTATTCTTATTATTATAAAGTTAATATTCGCTTAAAGATAATAAACTTAAAGAAGAATAATAAAGGAGTTAAGTAAAGACGTTTAAGCTCTCTTTATAAACGTAAGGGTAAAAGCACTCTATTAATAAGAGTAAAGGGAAGGCTAGTTAAGTAAAGGTAAGCTAGAAATAATAAGTTATAGGTAAGATTAAATAAAGGTTTAAGTTCTTACTAAGCTTTAATAGTAAGTATAGTCCCTTTTATACTTATTACTTATCTCTAATTATAAGTCTAATTACTTTTAAAATAGCTAGGCTAATTACTCTCTTTTATTAACCTAGAACTCTTTATTTATATAAGAATTAGATAATAAGATTTCCTAATTTAAGTTACTACTAGTATATATATAAGGTTATAATAAGGCCGTTTTCGCCCGTTTATATAAGAGAGAAGCTAATAGTATAGTATTACTTACCTTTCTCTTATAGTCTACTTATTATTATAACGGTGGCTTAGGTTCTAAGGCATAGTAGGTCTGTTTCTTAGGAAGTAAGTTAGGTTAAATACTATAAAGTAGCTTTTTAAGTAGTATTATAATAAGGCTATTAAGAGTATAACTCTTAATAATAAGACTATTACTTAAATTAATTAATAAAGAACTAGATTATTTAATTATAAGAATACTTTCTTTTTAAGTATTCGTTTATCTCTTTATTATAATTTTAAATTAATTAGCTTAACTATTAATCCCTTTAAACCTTAATTAATTAGCTTAAGGTTTAATCCTATTAAGTCTTATCCTAGATTACTAACTTAACACTTTAAGTCTTTAATCGCCTTTTAGGTCACGTGGCTAATCACGTGCTCTTGCCTTCTTCTTATGCCTACGGGTCGTGCCTGTCCTAGCCGGTACGGTCCCGTCC